TTTTAAATTTATTATTTATTTAAGTGTTTATTTTTTAAGGTGAGCAATGATATTTAAGCAGTATTTATTGACATTCAACAATGTCAAAACATACCGAGCCCAGGACAGATAGGACTTAGTTCTTATGGGCTGAACGAGGGGGAGATGAACCATGAGAGACTATGGTCTCTGAGAAACAAACTGAGGGTTCTAGAGGGGAGGGGGGTGGGGGGATGGGTTAGCCTGGTGATGGGTATTAAAGAGGGCATGTACTGAACGGAGCACTGGGTGTTATACGCAAACAATGAATCATGGAACACTACATCAAAAACTAATGATGTACTGTATGGTGACTAACATAACATAATAAAAGAAAAAAATAATGATAATAATAATCCTACTTTATTGAGAATGTTTTTCTGTGAAAAGGATTTATATACATAATCTTATTAATCCTTGAATGATATTCATGATAATCACAATGCCTCACATTTATTTTGAAGGCTTATTTCCCAGTCTCGATGCCAAGAGCTTGGCATATACTATCTCCTTTAATTCTGTCAAAATCCCTGTGAAATAGGTACAGTGGTTATCCAAATACACAGATGAAGAGTGCACACTCAGGGTAGTAAACACAGCCCAGAGAGATTCCTGATGCACCATCAGTGGCCTTTTTATGTGGCTCCTTTGCCGTTCATCATTCCTTTCCATTTACTTATTCTCGTTTATTCTGTTGTGAAATTCGGGTCTCTGGTTTTACAACACATTGTTTTCATGTAGGACTCTGTGAGAGGAAGTTGCATGTTTTATGTTCTTTGTTTCAAATACACATCTCTGATATGCTGTGTGTGAAACTGCTGCATTATTACGTTGTCCAGAGTATATTCTAAACACGGTCACAAACATACCATCTGAAGCAGAAGAGAAGAGAAAGGAGAAGAGGGAAGGGAAGGAGGAGAAAGAAGGGAAGAAAAAAAGAAAAAAATTACCTAAACACTAGATTTGGGGGGGGGGAAGCTATTTTGTCTCATTTTTACAATTAAAAAAAAAAAATCTTCCATCCCAAAGCAAATCATTCCAAGTGTGTGAATAGCTTGGTACTGGGGGAAAAAAAAAAAAAAGTCTCCATCTGGTTAACTTCAGGATGAAGGAAAAAAAAAATAGAATAGGATCTTTTCTGGTTCTGGACCTCTTACAGTTTCATTTGACTGAGATTTGGATTCATTTTTCACTCGTTTCA